CCGTTGGTTGCAGAGCCAGACCTTTTACAGATCTCAGGAGATGTTTGCACTCCATTAGCATTTGTTTTTGTCTTCCAAGAGGAATCTCATCCCACCCAGCCCTCGGGGAGAACCCACCATTCCAGCTCTGGCTGTCAGCTGCCTGCTCCTCCCCTCTGAGAGCAGTGATCCTGCACTTAGCAGAACCTGACTTCAGACCTTGCATGAGCTTTCCTCACAGCACTTGCCTTCTTCTTCCTGGGATCAAGGTGAATAGCTTCCATAGCCCATGACTTAACATGCAGTGGAGGTATCGCTCTGACCCACAAGTGGAAGGATGCCCCAACTATTTCTTAGCATTCTCTCTAAACTCCACCCCACAGTTACCTGGCAACAGCTAGATATTCTCCTTCCTACAATCACCTGACAATAGCCAGGTAGATTTGGCCTACTATAAAAGTGACTGCTTCCCCCCTCCTCTCTCTTTTGACCTGTTGATCTCTTGCTCTTTTTTTTTTCTCGACAATTTAGGTTCATTAATTACCCCCTCTCCCCCTTTCCCTTCCCCCCTCTTTCTCCACATACTCATGCCTGGCCTCTACTTTTCTACTTTCTGCCTCTCTCTGCCGTTCCTCACCTCTACTGCCCTCTTAAATCCCCTCCCCATGTCCTGAAAAACAATATTCTATACTATACTGTCTTGTGTCTGGTCACTCAGGGGCAAGAGATGTCTCAGCATGAGGCATGAGCCTGCTGAGACATCCCTTTCCTCTATACCTCACCACACACACATAGAACACATTCCATCTCTCTTTAAAAAAGGAAGCTGTGGGGGAGGTACATACCAAGTAGAGTTTTAGACAGGATGCTAAAACCATTAACATTAAAATGGGATTTTAGGAAACAAGAGTCTTGTTTTGTGGATTATTGCTGGGCTCAGGGAAACTGCAGCTCCCTTTGACCAGACAATAGATATCAGTCAACCTTGGAGAAAAGCTCAGGGACACACAGTTGAGCACTATTGTTAGCCAGCACATCTTCATTAGTGGAAAAGTGAAGAAAAACCACAGTTGGATAAGTACAGGTTCTCTAGATAAACATATGTCAAGTCATAGAGAGAATGAATCTATGTATGTAGAAAGAGAATTTAATAGAATGACACAATAAAGGCTGTTGGGCAAGGGAAATTAGAAAAATCAAAGCCTTGTTGATTTCATGTTGCAGGACATTACAGCAGGAAGCCAAGATTATGATATTCACAGATCCTAACAGATAATCAAAGGATAAGTTGCCAAGAGCCAGACAGCCTGCTGCCAGCAAAGAACATTTGTGGTACCCTATTCTGGGTCTTACTGTCAGCTATTGCTGCACCTAATTTTCCTCTGAGATAAAATGCCCTTCAGTACTCTTCTGCTCTAGACATGTCTGACTTATTTTCTTCCCAACCTAAAAATATGCTTACTAAGAATTTCAATGTGAAGTTATCACTTGACAAGGAAAACTCTTAAACAGGAATCCCAGACAAGCAAAAGACACAAATTAATAGCTTATTAAATTTTGCCCTTTTATTACTTATGTATAGACTATACACATGAGATCATAGTTTTTGATTCATATAATGTATGTAACAGCAAATGGGTTATAAGCAAAGTAAATTGGATATGTTGGCCTAAGTTTATTTCATTCATAATAAATTAAACTTAATAAATACAAAAAGACAAAAACCTATTTAATCAATATACCCACTCAGGTAAAAGTATTGTAAATAATAATAAAAGTCTGAATGTTTCTTTAAAATGGGTAACATGAACATATATACTTTAAAAAAAGAACATATACATTTAAATATTATTGTCTTGTTTTTTTTTTCTTTTTTTTCTTTTTTTTCTTTTTTTTTTTTTTTGGTTTTTCGAGACAGGGTTTCTCTGTGTAGCCCTGGCTGTCTTGGAACTCACTCTGTGAGTGCTGGGATTAAAGACATGCGCCACCACCACCCGGCATTATTATTGTCTATTTTTAAGGACATAATATATGTAATCATACAATTCTGGTCACAATGGTATGTCATTGAACCCTATCCCAATTCTCGTACACAACATGGTCTCTATCCCTTAAGGATCTAAATTAGTTTTAAAGGGTTGACTGCTCCTAGACTAGTAGATGCTAATCATTATGGCCATTGTCCTCACTCATATTAGAACAACATATCTGTCCATTGAAATATGATAGATACATATTTGAATCTTTATAGAGACATAAACATGTTAATAATTTAAGAGATATTCATATCCAGTAAAGCCTTTTTAAAAACAAATACAAAATGATTGAAAGATCCACCTCAGAACTTGCGTCTTATATTCTAAATTAAACAACATTTTCATATCTTCAGCTCTGTTGAATTAAAATAATCACAGCAGAGCTTTTTAAATATTGCTAAACCTCTACGAGAGAGAGAGAGAGAGAGAGAGAGAGAGAGAGAGAGAGAGAGAGAGAGAGGCAGAGAGAAAGAGACAGAGAGAGAGACAGAAACAGAGACAGAGAGACAGAGACAGAGAGACAGAGACAGAGAGACAGAGAGAGAGAGAGAGGGAGAGAGAGACAGAGAGAGAGAGAGAGAACTGCCCCAGCCTTATATTTTGATGCTAATTCCCCTTTGCTGTGAAGGGCTATAGAGGAGGAGAGAATCAGTACACAAGAAAATTCTTGTGAACCTTCTGCCCACCTTAATTTGTAAAATAAAAGCTGGAGAGATGCGCCAAGGCTTCAGTAGCAACCAGCTGTCCTCTGCTGCTTGAGCCAGCACCTTTCCTAGTAGTTCACAGCAGCCTCTTGGCCCCTGCTCCAGGGTAACTACATGCGACCAGAAGGATATGATCAAAAAGGCAGACATGTCGGAAGAGATGCAACAGGACTCAGTGGAGTGCACTACTCAGGCATTGGAGAAGTACAACATAGAGAAGGATATTGCAGCCAAGATCAAGAAGGAGTTTGACAAGAAGTACAACCCCACCTGGCACTGTAATGTGGGTCAGAACTTCGGTAGTTATGTGACATATGAAACTGAACACTTCATCTACCTGGGTCAGATGGCCATTCTTCTGTTCAAATCTGGTTAAAAGCATGGACTGTGCCAAACACCCAGTGATCCATCCAAAAACAAGGACAGCATCCTAAATTCCAAGTACCAGAGACTGAATCCTCAGCCTTGCTAAGGGAACACCTCATTTGAATCTGTTGTGTTTTGTACAGGGCATCATTCTCTGTACAAGTTTGTGGTTATAAAATTAGCAAAACACCTTACATTTGTATTTATTTTGTAGTCCATACTTCTGTACCCCATTTTTTCTCCTTCAGGATACTCTTTTAAAAATAAATCTGTTGGAGATGTAAAAAAAAAATAAACAATAAAGACTGGAGCCAGTGATTGGGCAGAAGAAGGGGAGGTGGAGAAATAAAGGTTGGTGGGAGGAGAGCATTGGGGAGGAGAGAGAAGATGATGGTGGAAGATGGAGGAGGATGACAGGGAAGCAGGAGGTGGAAGGACAAATGCAGGGTCTGGAAATCCCACAAGTTATAGGGGTCTCATAGCTGGGGAACAGAGTAGTGAAGTGGTGAATCTGTCCAATTTAGGTGTGCAGCATATATTCATAATTATTGGGTTGTGTTTTCTTTGACCAGTCGTATCTGGGTTGGTGATTCACCACAACAAATTCACACCCAACTTATTGTTTAGAATTCAGCTAACCTGAGGTAAAACCCCCATATAAAGCTGAGTGACTCTGAGAGGCCTACAAAGAACAGCAGAGAGGCTACCTCCCCCAACCTCCAGACAGAGAACTCTGGCCAGGGTCAGGAGCAGCACTCAGCCTGAAGCTGCATTTGATCAGTGCCCTGTAAAAACTGCAGATATATAACCTTTGGATACTTAAAGATAAGAAACACAATAAATATCTTTTGGGCTTTATGTGATGACATTTTGAAAGTTTTGACAGAAATTGACTGAGGAAGAATACACACCTTATCATTTATCGGTATTGCAATATTTACTTTCTTGATTTACTATGTCTTTAGAAAAGACAGGGTCTTAGATAAAAAAATCTTTGCCTTAGAAAAGAGATAACAAGTAACACTAAAACTAGAGGTTCAGGACTTTATTGATCAAAATAAGCAACAGAAAGAGGAGAACGAAGGTTGGAGACAGAAGATGGAATAGATGCTAGAACAGAAGTTTATAAGTGAGTCTGAGGAACAGAGAGATAAGCTTAAGACTCAGCAACAAAATCTAGAAGACAATTTACTAAAGCTTTCATATCAAAAGAAGGCAGATGCTGTAATATTACAATTACAACATAAAGAGAAGCTAAGATTATGGAAGCAGGGCTTAGAACAGAAGATACAGGAAATTATAGAGCAGCATAAACATCAGAAAGAGAACCTTATGACTTAGCAACAGGGCTTAGAGGAAACAATAGAATTGAAGTCACAGGAAATTATAGATCAGAATAAGAGACAGAAAGCGAAGAATGAAGGTAGAAGACAAGAGCTGGAAAAAATGACAGAACAGAGGATGCAGCAGCTCAAAGATCACTCTGAGCAGCAGAAAGACAATAATGAGGGATGGAAACAAAATTTGGAGAAATAACCTTTTACAATTAATCAATCAAAATAAAATGGACAGCAAAATATCGGATTTACAATATAAGGAAAAAAATCAAAATTTGGAGGCAGAACATTGGACAGAGACTACAGGAACTTAAGGAACAGGAAGAGCGACAAAAGAAGAGATATCAAGCATGGACACAGACCTTAAGGGAGGAATTTGAAATTTTAATTGAGGAAAATACTCAGGTAGAGAGAGAAGAAACTAGAGAAAGTCAGCCAAAAGTTATTACAAAACAAACTTTAGTCTATCCGGTTAATATACAACAAAGACCTCCAGAAGTTGATTATCCACAGGGCTATAAGGAATTTGAATGGCAACCCATGAATGTGTTAGATCTGAGAAAACTTAAGGAAAGTGTCACTGAATTTGTGCTGGGTGCCAAGACTCCCTTCTGCCTGAGAGCAAATGTCACTTAAGCAAACAGCCTGAGTTAAGGAATACTTTATTGCCCTCCTGCCAGGGAAAAATTATTAATCAGATAAGCAACTCGAGCTGAGAAATGTTTTAATTGCCTTCTTACTTGTGAGAAAATATTTATATAAGTAATTAATTTGGGCTAGGAATTCTTGTGGGCTTAGAGAACTTTGCAATTTTAGGATGACCCTGGACCCTGACTGTTAGTTAGATCACCCTCCTGCCTGCCTGCCTTTATAACAGACACCCGAACAATAAACTTTAAGCACTTGATCAGACATTCAGATTTGTGCTTCTTCCTTGTGTCTCTTGTCCCATCTTTCGCCCTCCCCTTCCCTAGGGTCTGGTCGAATCCCTGCTGGCTGGGGCATCTTGGTGACCGATGTGTGCCCTTTGGGTCTGGTCCGATTGAAAGTTGATTCTACAGGGATGTCCTGGAAACATAGGATCTGTGCTTCGCTGGGGGGAACAAAGTAGATCCAGTTGTGATCACCGCAGAGTCACACCTGCCTGCGAAATTGATCTGGTGTAGGTAAGACGAAGCAATGCAATTATGGGACAAATGTTCAGCAAACATGGGTTGTTCTTAAAGGGTCATAAAGAGTCCCTCACAGCATGAGGAGTAAGGGTTAAGAAAAAGGATCTTAAAAGATTCTTTGATTTTATTGGTGATGTTTGTCCATGGTTTCCCCATGAGGGGACTATTGATGAGAAAAGATGGGCTAGGGTTGGAGATTGCTTAAAAGATTTTTATGAAATCTTTGGTCCTGAGAAAGTTCCTGTTCAGGTTTTTTCCTATTGGAACCTGGTGAATGGTATTCTTCAAGTCTACAAACAATTTCCAGATATTCAAGAGTTAGTGAAAGAAGGGGAAAAAGTCTTACAGTGACACTCTATGTCACCCTCTGTTTGTGAGTCTGTTTCTATTCCCATGACTGATTTAGACGTACCTGCTGTCCCCACTGAAGCTGCTGGGACTGACACGAAACGCCCTCCTGCTAACATTTACCCATCCCTTGCAACTTTAAATCCCTGGCTAAGGATGGGCCTGACAATAGCCTCTCTCCTGCAGAGACATTTTCCTTAGAGAAGGAGGCAGCTAAATACCTTAATCCTGACCTGCTGCCCCTGCCCTCCTTCCTGTCAGGACCACCTCCATATACTACTGCTCCTCCATTTTGTGCCCCAGTCTGTGACTTGGCTGATAGTAACGATTATACCAACAAAGCTAAAGCCCAACTTTCACAAAAAATGGCCTCTCTTAGAAAGTTACTAGAGGAAAAATGGGAACATTTGCAGTTAGTAAAAGAACTGCAAGCTCTCAATTTGGAATTAACCTCCCTCTCTCCAATGCCAGCTATATCTAAGACTAAATCTAAACCCAAATCTCAAAAACCTGTACTGGCCTTCCCCATTACCAGAAGCAAATCTGCTGTCTCTCCCAATAGCAGAAATAAGAACACTGCCTCATCCTGGAAAAGTGGAAATGACTCCCCTACTGGGGAAGACAATGAGGATACAAGGCCTTCAGGCAGTGAAGCCTCTGATGATGAAAACAAGGCTTCAGGGGACTCAGAAAGTGAGGAAGATGAAATAAAAAGTCAACAGTATCACCCTCTAGGGTTCCATGGGCTGAAAGATCTAAAAATGTCGGTAGCAAATTATGGCCAGACAGCCCCCTTTGCCTTATCCTTAATTGATAATTTGAGTGATTGGTGCCTTGTTCCCAATGACTGGTATTTTTTAGCCCGTGCCACCCTGGCAGGAGGCGACTATGTTCTTTGGAAGACTGATTTTGTTGAAAACTGCAGAGAAATAGCGCTTCGCAATTCTGAAAGTAAAACCTCTAAGAAGTGGAACAAATATAAGCTTCTGCGGTGGAGCCCTTGTGGTACTAAGGAAACACAAGCTCCGTTCCCTCCTGGCCTTCTAGGCCAAATTCAGAATGTGGGTATTAAGGCTTTTTTTTTTTCACCAGGCCTTTTTAAATGTTACTAAAACTCTATCCAAGCCAGGCAGTGGTGCTGCATGCCTTTAATCCCAGCACTTGGGAAGCAGAGGCAGGTGGATTTCTGAGTTCGAGGATATCCTGGTTTAGAGAGTGAGTTCCAGGACATCCCGGGTTACACAGAGAAACCCTGTCTCAAAAGAACAACAGAAAGAAAGAAAGAAAGAAAGAAAGAAAGAAAGAAAGAAAGAAAGAAAGAAAGAAAGAGGGAGGGAGGGAGGGAGAGAGGGAGAGAGAGAGAGAGATTGAGAGAGAGAGAGAGAGAGAGAGAGAGAGAGAGAGAAAGAGAGAGAGAGAGAGAGAGAGAAAGAAAGAAAGGGAGAATGAAAGGAAGAAAAGAAAAAAAAAGTCAATCCAAAAAAAAAAACAAAACATGACATGCTGGTCAGTATTTGTACAACTTGGAAGGGAATTACTATTTAGGTAGTGTAAATTTGTCTCCAGATGAAATGGGTACTGTATTTTTAAAGTGACTGATTGCAGGATGTCTACACTCTCATAAGAAACACTTTGTCAATTTTCTGCGAGTAAAACCAATTGTTTCACTGTTATCCTAGGGTGAACTATCATACTTTTGAAATGCGGTGCCACTGAGTGATGTGTTTATAAAAAGATAAAGAGATAAGGAGAGTAGGTTCTGTGGGTGTCTGGAGAGGTATGGGGGAAGGAGGTGTCTCAGTGGGCCCATGCCAAGGCATCTTTTCCCCCTGAGGGACCAGCCACACACTGGTATAGCATAGAATAGAGTTTATTTAGGACATGGGGAGGGGAGCCAGGAGGGTAGTAGAGCCGGAGAGAAAGAGAGAGAGAGAGAGAGAGAGAGAGAGAGAGAGAGCGGAGAAGAGAAAGAAGTAGAGGAAGATCATGACCATGTGGAGAGAGGGGGAAGGAGAAGGGGGAGGGGACATAGAGAAGCTAGAGGCAAGAGATAAAGAGAGAGAGGAGGTGGCAAGCAGCTTTTATAGTGGGCAAGGCCTACCTGCCTGCTGCCAGGTAACTGTGGGGAGGAGCATACCTGGCTGTTGCCAGGT